AGTTTAAAAGCTTTTTTAAGATGAAAAGAAACGTTTGTCGATGAGTTAGATTGAAAAGTATAAAAATAAAAGGAAGCATTTTGGAGAGATAGTTCAATCACAACTTTCTCTTAACTCCTCAAGATCTATTCACGCCTAAAAAATCGCGGCTCCAGAATAAGCTGTTCTTTAGATATGCTGGAAAGAAGGTTCCCCCTTTAACTGAATTTTCAGTCGTCTCTTCATATAAGTGTAATAAAAAACTATACTTTTAAATGTGTACGTCTAGTAACAATTGTAGAGAACTCAATACTCTTTAATATGATGTAGCACACGCCGGTGCGATCTGTCACTCTGCAGAGGAGTGCCTTAGCTTAAATTTGAAACCCAACGGATCTCTTCAGAGATGGTAATTTTTCCAGAACAGTGTACAGAAGCTTTAAATAGGAATACCACAGTAAGATCAAGTTCAGTCGTTGAAGCACATATCAAACAGATAAGGGAACATATGAGAAATAAAGGACGCGCATGGTTGTTAGAAAATTGTTTTTCGAATACACTCGACACGACTGTCGACTTTGACCTTAAGGGTACCCCGCCATTCTTTTTGGGCTTTCCGTAGAAATGCTGTGAAATATAAACTAAAAGTCGCTAGGGCTTTGTATTTTCAGAACTGGTTGGAAACTCAATGGAGCACTTTCGCTTTTGTTTGAAGTTTTCACCAGTTTTTCAGAAAACTCGGCTTCTCATTGTGTCACATACGAGCCCCCTTAAATTTCATCCGATCGAGTTCAAAATTTTATCAGAGGTACTCAAGTTCATTCCGCAGAGGCAATTATTGGGATACCTTTGTGCGACCTTTCCTGGTCGAGTTATAGGAAAAATACTGAAAAACGTTTCGAAAACCACGTTTTTCAACTTTAGAAACCCTGTAAGTCGGTAAAGTCTAAACAAACATTCCAGGAAAATAGCCCTATAATAGTGTCTTGAGTACCTCTGGTAAAATTTTGAACTCGATCAGATGAAGTTTAAGGAGGGTCGTCATGTGGCACAATGAAGCGTGGTGGGAAAAACATAGTTTTCGAGAAAAAACGCATTTTATACATAGGCTTTTTTTTCTTGATTATGCTTTATTGCCACACTCGGAAGCGCTTGCAAACAAAAGGAACCAAAGAAAAAAGATATAGTTGAACCCATTACAACATTTTAGTTACATAAAATTAATAAAATATAAAAAGACACTTTCTTTTCTCACCAGCAGAGGACATCATTAACATATGTACTAGAACGGTTTACAGGGATACATTTTAGGCAAAAATAAACACGAAGGAAACAGTAAGGAAAAGAAAAAAAAAATTATCTTTATCCAATAAAGTCAGCCATTTCAGCAGTTATGATTCATGTTTTTCAATTTTATTTTTTACTCGTTTTTGCTGAAAAAAGTGGCCCATTCCATCTTTTTTTCTCTTTTTAAAATTGTTCCAATAAAAAACATCATTATAGAAAAGTGAGAAAACGAGATCAGATTTATACATACTATCCAGCCTTTTCTTTAAATATTTTTTTACATAAAACATTAGATCATTTTCTTTTGTAAATGAGAATAGATTTTTACTGGAAACGAGATGGCATCGGTGTATGAGGCGAATACCGACTCCGAATTTTCTAAAAAATAAATCTTTCTGTGACTGAGGGAGGAAAGGAAAAAACGGAAACATCCAAGCGAAATACGGAAATGAGTATGCAAAGAAACAAAGCCGCAGTACATTAGTGGACACTTCCCGGTTATTTTTTAACCACTTGAGTTTCCCATAGGATCTTTGTACATTTTTTAAACAACTGCTTACGGTATATCTCAGCGATAATTTTTCTGTCGAAGTGAAACCTAAATACTTGAAGGCTTTAACTTGTTCTAATCGTTTATTATTCATGAAAATATTTATGTGAGGACGTGTGACCTGTGTATGAAAAAGTATGAAAAAGTTGTATTACTGTTTTTGCGACATTTATTGGCTGTTTCCAACGTTTGGAATAGCCCGCTAACTCATTACACACTTTTGTTCCTTCTTTTTCTAAATATTCTAACATTGGTTTTAATTTTTTATTTATCGGTGGAATTATTAAGACATTCAGATCATCGGCAAAAACATGTCCTGCATGCGCGCCTATACAAGAGATCAGATCGCTATGAAAAACAATGAATAGAAACGGACTCAAACTACTGCCCTGTGGCAAACCTATGTATAAATAAAAAGCCTTAGATCTCATATCGCCTAAGATAACATACGCTTTTCTATCGCTTAACCAGGAATGAACAATTTTTAACAGCCCTAATGGCATTCCTAACCTAAATAGTTTTACAATAAGAGCCATATGCCATACATTGTCATAGGCTTTTTGATAATCCACGTATATAGCTAACGTGGGAATATTAGCAGCGAAATTATTCTCGACTTCTTGAAATATTGATAATACTCGAGTCGGCAGTAAACAGTTCGGCCTAAAATCTGATTGTTCGTCCGGAATAATGTGATTTGCATCTGCCCAATTTTTCACTCTTTCTAACACGATCTTCTCAAAACTTTTTGAATGTGTAGCTAACAAAGATATCGGCCGAGTCTGATCACATGTAGGTGTTCCTGCTTTTAATTTATTTAGTATAACGAACTTGGCTATTTTCCAACCATCTGGATATCTACATTCTCTCAACCAACACGAATTTAAACCTTCAATGTACGTAGGTGGGAGAAGCTTGATCATATAGTTTGAAATCGAGTCTAATCCCGATGATTTTTTCGGTTTTAACTTTTTCATGAGTCTACTTATTTCATTTATACCAGTAGATAAAACTCCATTACAATTTACCAATAATTTATTGATAATTTCAAAATACTCGTTTTCTATTTCGAAATCATGCGGATCCGTTGGATCCAGAGCCGGTGGCTTAAACTGCTTCTCGTACTACTTATACAGTTTCTCTGTTATTTGGTGACCATCGGTAATTATTTTATTTTTTACTACTAACTTAGAAAAAGGTAATGCTTTTGGCCTATATATTCTTGACAGAAATGTCCAAAAAACGTTATCTTTACTAACATACTTATTTTGTATTTTATACGTAGGCTTGCATGTATTCAGCGTGATTCATATGCCAGTGTACATTATAAAAATATTGGTCGAGTTAGCGAATGGCAGATGGATCAGACAGAGATGCGCGCTTGTATACACAAACGAAATGGGAATTGCATTCTCTTTGTTACGTATTGAGACTGATGCATTCGTATTGGAAAGAAGTCGACCGTGATGCCACATTTTTTCGCGACAATGAGCACGCGTTTAAAGTAAGCATTCGATTCATTTTGTAAACAATAAAGGAGCAACAATGGTTCAATGGCTCAGGTAGAAAACGAAAAATTTTAGCTCACTTTTTCAACGCTTAGCCGCCAGCAGGATTTTTTCTCGTACTAAAGGCGTAGATGCGCGAAGATGTTCAACGAACAGATTTAGCTTTAACAGATGAACAGAACAATCTGACAGAAAATTAAACTTTGTTGAATTGATTTTCTCTTCGTTCTAACCACCTTTTTAAA